TTGTTTCTAATATTTTTCTACCTCTCCTTGAATTATTATTATTATTATATTATTATAGTATTATATTATTATTAGCTACTTTTTAACATTTTGCATTTAATAACTTGTGAGTTTTTAACGTAGTGTTTTTGTCAGTTTTGTCAGTTATGTACACCACTGAAGTCTGGAGTAAACTTCCCCTGTGCTGCCGCCCCCACCCCCGTAGCATTTCAAAACAGTTTGAGAGAGTTAAACTGTGGCTCCACAACACATGTATGCTGTATCTATTAAACACTGCTTACAGACGCAGGTAATTAGAAGATACTCTATATGTCAACTGTGTTCTGCTTCAACTACGTGGTGATGCTGTCTGATAGCACAAGTATCAGACCTGAGATGCTGAAACAAAATCCATGTCTCCACAGTCCAGGCACATGTGCCACCAAAGTACCAGCGCGTCCAAATGCACAGCTTCTGGACTTGGTATAACAAGTTGTTCATGATATCAGCATAAAAAGCTCACTGTGCAAGATCAATTCTTATCTCCACCCTGTTTATTTACCATGTAAAATCATCACTGTCACTGAGAACTCCCTGCCCTTGAAGGACTTTGGTGTTTTTTAATTGTTTAGTTGCAGTCAAATTTAAAAAGTTCTATATTTTAAGGCTGCTCTGAAAAGAAATATCCTCTCCTTGAGCTTTTTACGTAACCTCCTAGCAGGCCTCCCCCTTGTTGGCTGCGGCTGCGGGGCAGCAGCAGAGAGAAGGGGCAGGCCTGTAACACCTGCCAGTGTTAATGGTAAACATATGTGGAGAAATGCAGGATGAGGATGTGGGGGAGGAGGAGGGCAAACACTCCTCTTAAAGAGCTCTTAAAGAGTCTGTGTGCACATAGATGGGATGTGTGTTTCAAGTATTCATGTGCACGTGTGCAGGTTGTGTGTTTGCTAAAGTGGAAAGATGCTGTTGTCTCATTCATCTTCCGTCCCATATATAACCAGGTACTTCTGTTTCAAACGTTAAGCATAGTTGGTACGCTATACATCCGCTAGGGGGCAGTGTTATTTTCTGAGCCGATGTCTGTTTCTCAGACAATAACAAACAATGTCGACAGTGGAGAGGTGATGATATTGTTCGTGTTCAGAAACAGGTCCAAACAATGTCGACCGTGGTGGTCTCTGTGGACAGAGATTCTTTCTTCCTGGATCCGTCATTTCTGTTGTTTAACTACAGTTGTCTTCCTCTTGCTGTTCCTTTTATGGGTGCACATTAGCCATACTGCACAACAACGCCCCCCACGATTCGTAGTTGTACTGCTCTTTTTAGTGTGTTTGTGTATGCATACATAAGCTTTCCGAAAACGTATTGAGAGAGTTTTCACCTCCTTTCAGAACAAATGGTTGATGAAAGACGTAAACATGTAAGGAAATGTGTGTATTAAGTTTTAATACAAGCCCATAAGTTCAATTTATATTTTAATAAAGGGACAATTTTAGGGTATTACGTTTCATAATACCGTATTGATTTTTAATGTTTTTAATGTTAAAATGTTTAAAAAAAATTCAATATATCGTGCATATAATATCGCACTATATTACAGTATATTATATCGTTGTCCGTATATTTTGATCTGTATCGTATCACCACATTCTTTCCAATACACACCCCCTAATTGTGTGTGTTGACAGACACACACTTACTGAATTGACACCTTATATGTGTGTTATCTCTGCTTTTCCTTGGCTATGCACACTAAAAACTGCATGACAGCTTCCCCCCCCCCCCCCCACACACACACACAATCACCCAATCCCTCTCCCACAGGCTCCAGGAGTCAAATGGCTCAATGTGTTAAGAACATTAGGTAAGCGTGGATCCAGCAGTGTTCCATGAGCTGATATCATATGTCCTGCTTCATTACAATCTGGTGTATACATTCACCTGCATCACTTACCCTCCATCTATTCACCCCTCCTTCTCTCTTCCATCTACCTCCCCCCTTCCCTGTCTCGGAGGGGTGCTTCAACACAGAGCGAGCCATCTCAAGATGTTAGCCCAAAAAGTACTTGCAATTTCTCATCAGTGTAATCGCTGGCCCACGTTGCTCAGCTGTGGAGCTCGTGCAAATGCACCTCTTCATTCAAGACTGATTTGATGGATCAGATTTTTTTTTTTTTTGAAGTCAGTACTTCTGGAAAAAGACTAAAATCTGTAGTCATTCTACTTAATGCTAACTTTCAATCTAAACAAGTTACTGTACAAGGTGGTAGACATAGATCTGGACTGTAGGCAGGCCGGTCTAAAAGAATATTTTTAAAAAAGCATTGTGCTTTTTTAGTACTCTTAAGAAAAGTAATCCTCTGTGTTTAACACATTAGCGAAACACACCAAAAGTAGGCTCCCCTTGTTCTAAATATGTTTATGTTGCACAAATAGAATTACACTTCTTGCTGAAAACATAGATAATGTTTTGGTATTTGTGCCTGTAAAAGTTCCATAGGATCTTAGATTTCAGTTTTATATGGAAGGCACCCTACTTTTATTTTCTTAATTAAAAAATAAAGTTGTTGTTATTCTAGTAAAAGTGCGAACCTGGCACAGCTATAATTAAAAGGAGAAAATAAGTTTTATAGTCAACAATCAGACTCAAACAAACTATACCTTGTTCTTCAGCCCGTAGGTCTTGTTTTTCCTTGACTATTTTGGGCTTGATATGACATTTACTGGAGGGAGGCGGCTGACCAAAACCAGCTGAGTGCTGCGTGTACGAGGCAGACGGAGATCAAAGCAGCGGGTCTGTAACCTGTAGCCTGCTGCCGTCTGTTACCTTTAGCCCTGTCAAAGGGAATGAAGAGGAAACATCACCACACCTCACATCCCACAGCTGCTGGGCTACGAAGCAGCGAACACACTGAGGCCTTTTCTCTTGCTGCTTCACCGCAGCACTTGGCCAAATGCACCACACTTGTTTCTCCATCGCAGGCAGCGCTAGGCTAACATTAGCATTTTTCTCCCCTTATAAGCAGTTTACTGTGTGAATGGGTGTATTTGTGTGACAGTCCACCTCCCTCCATGGGAAAAAAAACATCTCACCTCGTTCAGATCCACCAGCCAGCCACTTACACCTGAGGCAAACGGAAGGTCAAGAAAAAGTTTCAAGGTGATGGTTCAAGATGACGTGTAAAAAGTGGCAGGATTTATGTGAACAACACTGTTGTTACATGTAGTAAAAGTACCATGACACTGAATATAATGGTGAATATGGATCTACAAGGGTCGCCCCATATCTTATTTTTGCCTTCTTTTTTAATTTTTTTTAAAATTTTTACATATTTCTAATCCTTGGTTACACCTTTTGCCTTTCTGTAAATGCTCTACAGGAGCAACTGTTGCAACAACAATCCCCCCCCCCTGTGATCAAAAAGGACATACATTTGTTAGTAGTTGGTAGTTGTCAGAGGTGCAGGGAAATTGAATCATTTAGTGAACACTAGCGAAATGACTTTGAAACGTTTTAAAAAGACCCTGGAGACAAGTTGAAGCCCCCACAGTTTCTTCTCACGACTGTCCAGTAAATGTTAATGGATCACCAGTGTATAGACTTTCAGACTCATCAACAGCTGTTCCTCCTACAGCCAATAGACTCATGATTCATCATTAGCCTGGAGCTGGTCCCTGTTTTCTTATAGAGTTTTACTGAGCGGTACCACCCAATGTTTTTATACTGCAAGAATTTTATACCAATAAAACACAGACTGTGTTAAAAGAGTAAACTGTTGTTGTCCTAGATATTGACACTGACATTAAGGGTGAGTTTAGAGTCTGGCTGACGCAGCACAGTGGACAAAGGATAGAAAACCTTCTGTTACTCTTGTCTCCCTCTGTGTCTTTTTCCTCCACCCACTCAAACTCTACCTCTTTTAAAACTTTTCTTATAAAAAGTAGGGAGAGGTCTTGTTAATCAGCTTTTGGCTTTGGTTTTGGGGGGCTCATATATAAACCCTCCCCCTTCCCTCCCGCACCCGTGCCCCTTGTGTATGTAATAGATGAGGATAGCAGAGCGTATGTTTACGACCAGGAGTGCTGGACTTGGCAGGGCCCGGCACTACTTCAGTGTGTCTTAGTTCTCACAGGTCATCACAGCTCAGTGACTGACTGACTGACTGAGTCCCTGTCTTTTTAGCACATGTGTACAGGCACAGATATACACATGTGTACACACTCAATGTTTTTTTTCCTCCTTTTTGATTCCATTCCTGAAATATGAGGAAAGAAGATTTTTGCCAGATTTTAACTACAATTCCCAGTTGGGCAAAGTCTTCACCAGCAGGGCTAGTTAGTACAAAAATCTGCTAGCATGTGAGGAGAGCAGACCTTACCTTAAGTTAAATCACTTTCAATGATTTATTGGCGTTTTTAAAAGAAAACACAATGCAGACGTAAAGCATTTTGGCTGGAGGAAAGTTACTGCTAACAGTAGTCCTACGCTCTTAGGGAATACAGTTGAGTTATAGTTATTGAGTAACCAAATGGCGTGAGTGTTAAAGATCCTAGCCAGTCTGATGGTTTTGGCACTAACAGATCTGTATTTCCTACCAGATGGCACTAAGAGGAACAGGTGGTTTGCTGGGTGTGACCAATCTTTAAGAATATTTTGAAGGGAGTGCTGTACTGATGTGTAGTGATAATGATGTCACCACTCTCTGGGGAGCCTCTAGGTCTGCCTGAGTTCAGCAAAAAAAGTGAGCCAGGAACAAAAACTGACAGATTCATGGATCTGTGGCAAAAGAAGTGTTTGATTAAGTTGGTTTATCCTCAGACTCACTGGTTCACAGTATTATTCCCAATATTGTATTGCTGATCCCCTGACACTGGACTCCAAGAGTATTCAAAATGTCTAAAGCCTGTGACTATTGTGCAATGTTCAGGTGATTATTTAAGAATCTGGTTTAATATCTTTAGCCATTAACTATATTGTCTCTCTCTTTTCTCTTCACACATCACCTCGCCTCTCGCTCTAGTGGTCCTATGCCTTGGAGAAGCCAAACACTGGCAGTGTGTTCACCATAGCCTGGTCTGCTGATGGCACCCAGCTGGCAGGAGCCTGTGGTAACGGTCATGTCATCTTTGCCCATGTGGTGGAGCAGCGCTGGGAGTGGAAGAATTTTGTGATCACTCTGACCAAGAGAAGAACGATGCAGGTAGTGAAGATATTGGTAATGATACACGTTTGACATATTACATCAACTACTGTCATGTGACACCTTTATCATCACAGCTGAATTCAATCAACATTATGTACGTCATGTCATTTGGTCACCTTGATCCTCTGGGTTCATGTTAGATAGAGTTAATCAGACACTCTTGGTGACACTCCTTAACCTTTTCAGATGTTGAGTTTCTATCCTCCCCCAGCTCACCATCCAAACAGGTTGTTGTGAAGTCCATCAAGACATACAACATGTGTTTTGTGAACATGAACTTTCATTTTAAGCTGGTTCAGTATCCAGTCTCTGTATGTAGTTGCCCCCTCCAGGATTAAGTTAATTATTCACTCAAAATTAACCATCGGTGTGAATATGAGTGTGAATGGTTCTTTGTCTCTCTGTGATCCTGTAATGAATTGGTAAACTGTCCAGGATGTAACTCCACCCACCGCTAGTTGCCCCTGCAAAGGATGAAGTAGTAGATAATGGATGGATTGGTGAATAAATGAAAATCATCAACATTGTGCAGCATTGTTATTGTGGTATAGCCACAGAAATGATGATATAGAATGTCACTGCCTTAGAAATCCTATGAAGAGATTAGCAAACAGCCTTAGTAAGGAAGCTAACACCTCTCCGGCTTTGTTTTTGGATAAAGACCCTTGCCGTAAACCAGTGCGTAGTTGTGCACAGTGACAATGACATGCTTGTCTGGCTGCTGCCCTCACTTCACCATTCTCTACAGCATAAACTCACTCAGACCACAGGGTAGTGTTTAAATGTGGCAAACGCGCCCTGACGTACGTGCGCTCACTTCTATACTGTACTTACGGACAGGGACGCACACTCAGAGAGAAACAGGTCTCTGCACGTGCACATGTGCCAACTCGTGCACTCATTTCTCATTCACCAGGAGCAGTCTGTGTAAACCAAACAAAGTTGGATCATCACCCATTTATTTTCAGCCTCGCAGGCGTTTTTCTGTCTCCCTCCTCCCCCTCTCCTCCTGGTAGTCCGTTTAAAAACGTGCACATCTGCCAGTGGTTTGCGAATCAGCCAGCTAAATTTACCACCTTGCGGTCGAATGTTTTTTCTTTCTTGGTTGTGTTGCATATAAATTTGGCCAGCCGAAGGGAGCAGAGGAGGACGATTTGTAAAGCTGTAAAAATAACCCCACCTTTCACCTGGCTCTGGAAAAGGGTCTTTCATTCAGACTGCAGAAAAATCTGGAAGGAAGTATTTATCTATGCAGGTGAAAAAAGGAGTAAAGACCGCTGCTCACACAAACAGTTAAAATGTCCTCCTGTGACCACACTTGCCCTGTGTATACTTGGATATACTGTAAGACTGTTTCCTGTGTATATTAAAAATAAATTCACTCCTAAATCCCTCACAGTGAACACACTGCCAGTCTGTGTTTAAACGTCTGTCATTGAACCCAGTGTCTCCCTTTTGTTAGCTCACAAGTATTCACAAGAGACTTGTGGTGTAGCCTGGCATTAGGTTGTATTTAGCCAAAACTAAACAAAAGCTAAACACTTCCTGTAATGGAATAAAAAACACTTGAATTTGACTAATTTTATGGTTTTTTTTTCTCATTTTAACATTTTTCCACTCACCCCAACTGCCTGTCTTCTACTGTTTTTACTGTGTCATAGGTGAGAAATGTAACAAATGACGCTGTGGACATTCTGGAGTTTAGAGATCGAGTCATCAAGGCCTCGCTGGCATTTGGTCACCTGGTGGTGGCCACATCACTCCAGTGCTATGTTTACAAGTGAGTCAACTGAACCTCTTTCTCTTTTCCTCACATGGTCTTTTTTTCTACAATTTAAGTGGCTCTCGGATGATGAAACACATTTGACTTCTGATTCTTGTTCTGATTGTTGTGTTTAAAAGCTTTTTCGTGCGGTTTATTTTTTGACAGCACGAAAAACTGGAACACTCCTCTCATCTTTGAGCTGAAGGAGGGAACGGTGAGCCTCATCCAGCAGGCAGAGAAGTGAGTAGCAGTGCAACGAGAACCAGAGAGGCTGTTGGATCATCTGTTAGCTTCCCTAATGCCTCATTAGTCTGCACTGACCACTCATCAAGCAGCAATCACACAACCCCTGCACACACTCACATGTACACACAGGCGCCACGCTGTAGCTTAGCCTTCGCTGTCATACAATAAGGCTGAGAGTGAAATCACTTGGGGTAATTAGATTATTATGGAGAAGCTCTTGTGCAATACTCCAGTGTAGTGGCTCTGACTCTCAGCGCGGAAACTAAATGGATTACTGGCCATTGTGTGATCACAATTGAGTTTTTCTGAGTGAGTTAATGTGGTTTATGAGCAGCGTATGTTTAAATTATCTGCTGATGGCAGTTCATTAAACATTGATATGTCTTCATTCTTTTAGTTTTTAGATTTCATCTACCACATTGACTGTTGCTCCCTTCTCACACAGACTTACTGTCTATTAAAAGTACATTGATTTTACAATATTTTATTTATTTAATGTTCCTCAACAAAAGAGGTGTACTGTATGAAATAACCCGTTTACGGTCAAAAAAAAAGAAAAGGTTTTTATTTAGCTGAAACATTCTTCCCGATGTCAGTCTACAGACTAAACGTAAAAATACATCACTGTGAGCAAAGACACCAGAGCTAACATTAGCTACAACAGTCCTGGTACAGACACCAGAGCTAACATTAGCTACAACAGTCCTGATACAGACACCAGAGCTAACGTTAGCTACAACAGTCCTGGTACAGACACCAGAGCTAACAATAGCTTCAACAGTCCAGAGCTAATGTTAGCTATATTTTATAATTTAATTATAAATTTTATTTGCTAATGTTAGCTATATTTTATAATTTACTTCATTTTATAATACCAATTATGGCTTGTTTAAAAAATGTTTCCTCAACACTAGAAGCTGTTAAATCGTTCACATTGCACCTTTAGTAAAATGCTTTCTTTCATCCACTCTCTTTACAACTCTCTCCATTCAGACACTTCCTGCTTGTGGATGGAGCAGGCTTGTACCTGTTCTCTTACGAGGGTCAGCTGATATCCTCCCCCAAGTTCCCTGGTATGAGAGCTGATGTCCTCAATTCCCAAGGTGTCTCCCTCAGTAATGACACTATCGCTGTTCGGGACAAACGTGACGAAAAAGGTGAGGGAGTGACTGTCATGTGTAATGTAGAGATCTGGGCAATCTCCGGGTGTAGTCGAAAGCAGAAAAAAAAAAAGGAAATGAAAGTTCCCAGTTAAACTACAGTTTTATTATAGGCTGTATGTACAAAACAAAAAGTAGTTTAGGTACATCAGCACATACCAACATCGGACCGTTTCATCTCTGTCAAGTTAGACAACAACAAAGCTGAAGCGGAAGTGACGTTTACCTGCCTACAGAAAGTCATCATTACAGTAAACATGAACTTTTATTGTTACTTAACTAAATATTTTGTCTTTTGTCATCAGTTATCCTGTTGTTTGATGCTCTGACTGGGAAAGTCCTCAGTGATGGGAAGCCCCTGACTCACAAGGTGTGTAATCCTTCATCAGAGTCTTTCTAAAGTAGCAGCACCAAGTGTAAGTGGGTCGTCTGCAGCCAACTGTGCATGTTTAGGAAGAAAGAGTTCAGTACGGCAGAGAAGTAACCGTTAAAAAGTCCAACTTGAACAAACTCATGTCCCCCCAGGATCATGGATGAGTGGGAACTAGTCCGTTGGCCTGTCACAAGTATGTCCATACAACTGGGTGACTCATGTGAAGAAATGTAGGTCAGATCTTTGGTGTATATCATATGATCTCCAGTGACCAGTCTGTTGAAGTTCCAGTCATTAAGGCTCACAAAGAAAACAGTCTCCTTGGCCATGAAGCTGGTGGGAAAACAGCTACTGAGACAGAAGAGTGACGGGTCGATATGACCCCTGCTCTCTGTCCACCCTGACATCACAGAATCAGGCCCGAGGTCCAGATTCATGTCTGCATCAATTGTAATAACAATATTAAGACCAAAGGAGCGAGGAGCCATTCAGGAGTGAAAACCACGTTAGAGAGAGTGATCCCTGCTGCCAACTGATGAGTTCTCCAGGTTTCCCCCACACTGAAAACATGCAGGACTAGGTTAATTGTCAACTACAGGTGTGAATGGTTTCTATTAGCATATTAATCAGCTAACGGTGCAATGATGAGCCACAATGACGAGCTGACCTGCCTTTTATTTGAATGACCTACACCCACACACAGCAACTGAGATTACAGTATAGAATGGTATACAACAGCATTTCAGAAAGAAGTAGCTCGCACAATTCTAACTGGGTAAGATGGCAGAAATACCATAGGTGGGACTCGTACCATTGTTTGAGAAACTCTGCACAGTATCATTCATTTCTTGGTCTTCATTATTAGGATTTTTTTATGAATGACTTTTTTTTTTTTTCTGAAGTGACCCCTAAAATGATAGTTAATGTCGTGATGAGTTTATTCATTTGACCCAGAGCCAGAATGAATCTTAGACATACACATGGTGTAATAAAAGGTAACATAATCATGATGGTAATAATTGTATATTCCTTTGGGTTGAAATTGTACGTTGTAAAGTCTAAATTGTAGGAAGAGGTTGGATTAAAAAAAAAGTTCAGGATGAAACTCTGGAAAATGATTTTGCCTACTCTAAGCTTTTCTGCATTAAAAATAAAATATAAAAAAAACAGTCGTGCTAAAATTATAGTGCAGGGAGAAGACAATAAAGGCAGGCAAAGTGCACAGGAGAAAGGCTCTGGGATCAAACTGAGAGGGAATTAGAGACAAAGAGAAGGAATAAATCAGAGGAGAAGAAAAAGAAGTGGAGGTAGCTGTAGTTCCTGTTTGTCAGCAGGACTTTTTCTGCCAGTATTCCACAGCTCCAAGACACTGCAGGAAGGCCAGCTGGCTCTGAGACACACACACACACACACACACACACACACACTGACTTGGCAAAAGGCTGTTGGGTCACGGTACTAACTGCTCTCCCCCTTTTATTTTCGTATCCTGATCTTTTGTCCTCCTTCCATCATTCATTTTACTCTCCCCTCCTTACCTGTGTGTGTGTATAGATGGAGGTGGTAGACATCGCTCTGGACCAGTGTGGCCCGTCCACAGAACGGAAGATTGCCCTGGTAGATAAGAACCATGACCTTTACATAACCTCTGTGCGTCATCTTGGCCGAGAAGCCAAAATCTGCAAAATTGGTGAGAGACGTGGATGAGAGAGAATCCACCCTGCATGAACTACTCTGACTCGTTTTTTATTCACAAACATAAAAATGCACTGATGTCTTTTTCCGTACTGTGCAGGTAGCATGGTTCACAGCGTGGCCTGGAACGATGCTGCTAACATCCTGTGTGGAATCCAGGACAATCAGTTCACAGTGTGGTGTTACCCCAGTGTGGTGTTCACTGACAAAGAACTACTTCCCAAAACACTGTACATTAAGGACGGCAGGTAAATTGAAGATTCACATTATATGTTTATATATATATAAAGTGTGTATATATATGTATATATAATTATATATATAAATACTGTGTGTGTGTATATATATATATATATATATACACACATATAATTATATATATATACATTTTATATATGTATATACTGTATGTAGCAGCTTGACATCCTTGGCCCTATATGAAAAGCAAAGCGTCCAGAATCTGTTAAGACAGCTTTTTTTTTATGTGAATTTGAAGCAGCCATGGAAGAGCAGTTAAAGGAAAAGAGAGCGATAGAAATAGCTTTTTTTCCCAAATCTTCCAGTCCGTTCCCAAAGGTACAACACACAGTGCTTAAGACTCACTTTGTTGCCAGCAGCTGTCAGCCTGCACAATGCTTCCTGCCCAAATGTCCACAACTTCAGCCAGTGCAGGAGGTGCTGAGGCAGAGCGCCTGCACGTCTATGCAGGCAGTCCTGGATCAGAACTACCTTCCTCTGCTACACTCATCTCTAAATAGTATTATTTATGCTTTTTTTTTATACATGCAGGACACACTGTGGCTCCTTTAGGTCTTGCTGAGAATACAAGTGCAAGTCAGAAAGTCTTCAGACAGATGTTATAATTGCCAAAGTCGTCTGATGTAAATGACTAAAACCGGTTCAGACTGGTCTCTGTGTCTCCAACAGCTTTGACCAGTTTCATCATCATATCTTTGTCTAGAGTTGAGCTGTGGGACCTTTGATTTGATCAGGTTTTTATTGTACCCTCAAATATTAAGCATTTTCACATCAGAGCGAACATCACTTTTTCATCCAGGTTTAAATGTATGAATGCTTTTCAACAGGCTTTGATCTAACTCCTGCTGAGTTGTCTTTATTTTTGCTAAATTGAAAGAACATTTGGAAGGACTCAGGTTTATTCTTAGAACAGGCAAAGCGTTAGGTTGTGACCTGGTATCATAGGAGAATTCTCTGATGGAAAACACCACTGAAGAAGAGTTTAAACTGACACGGAGGAGATGGAGAGACATGGATGTTTTACAAATTAATTTGATTGGTCTGGAGAGACATGGATGTTTTACAAATTATTTGATTGGTCGACTGGGACTGGGACTGTATAATGAACTCATCCAGATTAAATGTGGTCCTAAAGAAGTAGATTCTTGTCAATACAGTTGTACAGTCAGGGCCTTTACTAGAACTGAATTGTTTTAGATAAACATTGTTTTTATTAAAATGATTTCATTTACTCCTTCATTTCTTGTCTAATTCTAATACCTGTTCACTCTCCGTCTTTGAAGTGAGTTCAGTCGATCCCCACACATACTAAGCTTTGTCGGTACCATAGCAACGTTACGTCAAGGAGACGGTTCCCTGGTGTACAGCAGCATTCCTCCTTACGCAGGTGTGCTCCATGAGTACAGCTCCTCTACACGCTGGGAGGAGGCACTGCGCCTCTGCCGATTTGCCAAGGTACACATTTAATTTCTTTGTACGTCTCTGAACTTTTTTCTGCTCTGATATTATCCTTTATTCTGGCTTTAATATTTGCAGAATGAATAATAATGTGATTTATGAATTATTACATATAAACATAACACAAGCACAGACACAATTGTTTTTTGGATTTTTCTTGTAAATTTTTTTGGTACAAGGGTTTTAAAAAAATGTGTTAATTAGATTCTTTCAAACAGTACTTTTTCATGGCAGCACAACTTACAGTACTGTACAACACAGTCACAGTTACACTCTCAGCCAAGCTGTCGGTGTGTCCTGCGCATCTTTTTCTGGCTGGCTAACAATCTTTAAGCTCATTACCACCACCTGTGGTCTGGAGGCTGAAATGTTTTTAATATTTTCTTTTGTAATTACCTATCTAACCTGCTTTTTTAAACATTTAAAACTTTTTCATATGTAATATATTATAATTTTGTGCTCAGCTACAGCTTCAACCATTGTGTCATAATGTGCATTGGGGCTATAGCCCAGTCAAGGATCCTGTGGTGTGGGTCACATGCACGCGACTGGATACAGTCCGCATGAGAGCGAGTCTGAAAAGAGGTAGTGGACAGGTTTATGGGAGCAGAGCAGCAGGCTTTAATTAGCCTCCAATTAGCCTGGTGACACCATTTACCGGATTTAAACCCCCCCCCCCCCCCGCCCCCCCCCAC